TTGTTGTTGGAAAAATTGAACCAGTTAAATCATTTAACTCGTTTGAAAACCATTTCAACGCAGAGTTGTATCGGAAAGCTTTCTGCTCCGGCCAATCAGAAAGACCCAAAAGCTTTCATCTGACACGCCAACGTTCAAAAAATTTATATTCCCAAAAACAAGAAAAATTAAAAACTATCAAAAAATATCAAAATTGTATGCATATCTGCCCGCCTAAAAAGAGTGCAAGGCGGTATTAGTTATTTCCCACGAGGTCTCATCGTACGCAGAGATAAATACATACTAAACATTTTGAAGTCTCTAAGTAATCCGTATGCGTTAATATCATGAAGCAGACATTCGCACAAAACAAATTGAAACACAAAAACTTGATTTTGAATATTTTTTTTCGAATTTTTATTGGTAATCAAACAACCGTCAAAGTTAACTCCAAATGTTCAATGTGGACGATTGTGTTTTCCACAAAGCTCTTTTTCATTTAACAAGTTAAATGGGGCCAATTTGAACGTAATATAAGTCTTCGCAATCAAAAGATGAGTTTTTTTTTTTACATAAAAATCATTAATAAAAAGAGACTGTTTTAGTTTTCCGAGTTAATGTCATAAAAAAACTGGGTTTTCACAGCAGCCAATTTTTACAAAGTTTCCACTTAACCCTTTTGTGCACACGACTTTTTTTAAAACGCTCACAGAACTACACTAGTGATCTTGGGAGTTCTAGACTGGATATTTAAATTTCCGTTACAACTAGAGAAAACAACGCATATATAAAAATCTAAAATGGGAGACCAAGTTAAATTTGAATGCTTCTTTTGGGCGACAAAAAATTCTACTACGTATAAAACTAACACAATCGTCGTCGTGTTTTTGTACCACATTTTTTGTACGTCGGCATATGCCCAGTTTAAGCCACTTATTTTGTCGACTTATGCCGATGTGTCCGCGAAAGGGTTAAACTCGCTACATATATCTAAGACGTTTGTGTATCGATTAATTTGAAATTTTTACTCAATAAACTACAAACTGTTGCAAAGAATTTAAGTTTAACGACAGCTCTTAATACTTATTAAAACAAAATGGCGGATTTTTGAGCTTTTTTTAATTAAATAGGTGTTTTATTTTTCAAATTAACAATTTTTGTTTCAAATCTAATTAATTTTTTAATGCAGCTTTATGTATAGACAAACGCCTAAAAAAGTTGTTTGGAAAGTTAATGGAAAATCAAGTATTCAAAAATGAAATTAAAAACCCACAAATTTCTATTGAACGTCAGAAAAAATATGCAGTGCTTAGTGTGTATAGAGCAATTAATTTACCATTTAATGGAATAAAATGGCAGCACATTAAAAGCTAAATACATTTTGCCTTCCAATTAATTTTTTGCTCTTATACTTTTAGTAATCAAAATCAAAAGAAATATGCAAATATTTAAAATTTGTATATTAAAATACTCCACAAAATGCAGCGAAGGAAAGGCGAAAAAAAATATTTGCATTGATACGCAAACGGAATTAGCTAGATCACTAAATAAATTATTTTAAATTTCGTAAAATAATCAAATGTGAATCTGACCATAAAATGGTTTGTAATAAAAACCCTCTGTCTTTCGAAGAAGCCATACAAATGTTTATACCTTTACGGATAAGCACATTTAGTTGCATTTAAATATTGCACAGCAACTTGTGAATCCGTCTTATCATGTTTGCATAATCAGCTTTATTGCTGGAATGCAATTTCCAAAGAAATTCCAATACAATCAGCTTTCAAGTACACAACTAAAGTGTTGAGAAAGGTTTGAAAACAACGTTTCTTCTGATAGGCGAAAGTATTTAACTGTTCATATGTATATTAGCCCCGCTTCAGATGGACATTCACATTTTTATTATTCAAGAACTCAAGCTGATATACATGAAAAAAAAAAATGGATTTTACGATGCCCTAGGTTCGAAAGACTAAGATATAGATCTTTTAGATAATTCACTTGTCATTTTCATCAAATAAATAGTCTGATTCGCAAGTTTAGCTGAACAAACTTACGTCACACATTTTCGGTTCAATTTGAGTCCGGTAAATTCTTCGTAATGCCCGTTTTTGCTGCTCCTATGCAGTGTTGCCATTTTAGCTCTTTTCCAGCTTCGACTTTGTCCGATAACTGCGTGGAGGATACTTAACTATTGGTTTTCATGCGACGGGGCAAAATATCAAACCGAACCGTCACTGTCGCAGCTGTTCACAGAGCAATGAGGTGGCTTCAGGTGGTTCTCTTAAGCTGTCCAGATTTTCAGCTACGACAAATATTTACTTACGTATGTACAACATAAGTAGTTCCTTTTGTTCTTAAACATTGGCTGCTTTGAAGTTGTAATAACGGTCAAAATTATTTAAATTTTCATCTAGCTTTTTTAACCATAACTAAAATTTTGATTTAGCTTTTTAGCTTTATTTTTTGCCCGTTTAGCTTTTTTATCTTAAAAAGTTCTGGCAACACTGATGGCGAACACAAGAATTAAGAAGAAAAAAATCTGTTTTAATAAAACATGGTATGCGAAGACTTTTGGGAAAGATTATTACGAATCTGAAGTCAGATTTCAAAAATTCAAAATGGCCGATCGAATATGGCGAACAAAGAAATGAATAAATGACTAAACTTTATTAAAGCAGGCTATTTGGGGGTTTTAGGATCGCTGACTACGAATCTCGAATCTAAATTTCGAATTTTCGAAATTGCAATTGGTAGTGTCAGATAATTGGTTTTTGTGTAGTTACATTAGAAAACATTTTGTAGTTGATAAAATTTTACTTTTATAATCTTTCACGCATGAAAAGCAGAAAACAACAAGTGGTTTGAATAGTCGAATAAAATAATGAATAAAAAAAATAATATTAACAATAAAGACTGAGCAGAAGGATTGAAAGTGTTAGTAAAGTTCGTCGTTATCTTCTGTGGGAGCTTCGAATACAGACAAGTAAAGTAATACTTCTTGCGAAAGTTCATGTTTTTACTCTTTGGGAAGGCCTCGAGCTTTGGCTATGATATAGCCGACATCATCATACACATGTTTTTCCTTCAGCCAAGCGCTGGCATTTCTTTTTTCGAGGCTTGCGATATTTTTACTTTTTATATTTAGATAAGTGTTTTTCTTACAAGTGTTCTTTCCTTACAACAAACTGACATACTGGAACAGATATACATACTACATACATACATATGTATGTAGCTGTTTGTTGTCACTTTGCATGCGTTATCTCATATTTAATTGTTAACTTTGTATCTTTACTCTTTATCATATTCCCGTTAAAGAGATGTAGTGTCTTCGGAATATTACCTTTCAGTGATTTGCTTTTCTGAAAAAGTCTTGCTAAAAACATCAATATAATTGTTGAATTGCTATGTCTTTTTGGCTGCCTCCATTAAAAAAAAACAAATAAATCCACATTCTCCTTTACATTCGAGGACATTCTTCCTGAGCGTTGTGCATTATAGTATACTTGAAATAAAACAATAGGGGTATTCTCTGAGTCTTGCAAAGGCCCATGCATGGTGCACAGATTGCATGGTAAAAGCCGGTTTTCGTATAGAATAGCTTTGCAAACCGTGCAATCCGTGTGCCGTGCAAGGGCTTTGCAAGACTCAGAGAATACACCTAATGTGAATAATGAATTATTGCAGAAAAACAAAGTACATGCTGCAAATGTATACAGTGTAGCATTTTATTGCCCTACTAATCCCCATCCAAACTGTGAGTTTGTTGCGCTGCAAATGAGTTGCTCCATTTATTTACTTTTTTACTCGATTCTTTTCACGCACACATGCACATCAATGCGGAATGCGCAGCGCAAGTGGTTGTTTTTGTAATTTCTCTCTTTTAAATTGCGCAACTCTTCGAATTGTCTATTTTCGTCAACTGTTTTTTCCAGAGTGTAGGAATTTTGTATTCATTTTCTGTTTAAAAACGAAAATCTGAAGTATTGAAGTACATACATACAT